TCTCACCAGAACAATTCCCATCTACGATGGAAGGATGAAAAGCCATAGCAGACAAGAGAAAGGCGTGCAAGTTCGCCTTAAGTATATAAGGAATTGGTGAGTGTGAAGGTCCAGGTCAAAACGGAGAAGGCGTCACCCTTCCCCTGCCCCAACAGCAAAAATTCTTTGACAAATAATTTTCCTTCTTGTTTTGGTGCCATGGAGTGCTTTTGAAGTGCAGGAGACCTTGACAACAGAAAAGGTTGACATCTGGACTTGGAAAAATTTGGAAATAAATCACAAAGCTTTAAAGTAGCCTAAAAGAGCAGCAGATAGAGTGATGGAGGTGAAATAGCCGGCAGCAGGCTTTATCCTTTCTGCTTGAATGAGCCTTTGGGTCACGAGCCAGGCTAGGTGGGCAGAACTCAGTGGGGTCTTGGGCCCTGGGGGCCACAGGCTCTGGGACGCCTGGCGGTGGGGACACAGATGTGTGTTAACAGGCTGATGACAGCCACCTTCGAGTGCCCTCCTGCTCTTGCTGGGCTCTGAAGACCACAACAAAGGTCGACAAGCCCAAAACAGTCCTGTCCTCCCGAGTTATGGTTGGGGGTGGGTGGAGACACAGCTGAGAGGCAGCTACGACAGCAGGAAGGCAGGGGGGCTCAACCCCGGTGGTCTGAGGAGTGGCGCTGGCACTGAGAGGAGGGTCTTCCCACTCTTCAGGCTTCGGCTCCCTTGGCCTAATGACGTCTGTGCTGGTCTGCCCAGATGGGAAGACCATCGAGGCTGAGGCTGCTCACGGGACGGTCACCCGCCACTATCGGGAGCACCAGAAGGTGAGTGTGGGGACCATGGCCGCATGGCCGTCTCCCCCAGGGACCCAGAACCCACTGGCCTTGAGGGCTGGGAGGGTGGGCCTGGCCCTATCAGTCCAGGGGTGGGCCGCTGCGTCCAGGTGGCCCTCTTGTTGCCTGGTTCAGCTCTTGATCCCCCTTTGGCCCCGGCCCCCAGGGCCGGCCTACCAGCACCAACCCCATTGCCAGCATCTTTGCCTGGACGCGTGGCCTGGAGCACCGGGGGAAGCTGGACGGGAACCAGGACCTCATCAGGTGAGTGCAGAGGGTGGGGTCTGAGCTGGCCCAGGGCAAGTGCTGGGCCCTGGCTCTGCACAGCTGGGGTCTCACTCTGCCCCATCCGCTGCAGGTTTGCCCAGACCCTGGAGAAGGTGTGCGTCGAGACAGTGGAGAGCGGAGCCATGACCAAGGACCTGGCAGGCTGTATTCATGGCCTCAGCAAGTGTGTGGCCTGGGGTAGAGGGCAGGGTTGGCCTCCCGGGACCTCAGGGCCGGGTGGGAAGAAGCCAGTGGACCCCTCTTAGAGGCCCTCTCCTGAGTCGGCTTAGCCGCCAGGGGCCTGGGGCAGGACAGGTCCACAGTCCTGAGGGGTGGCTCGGGCCAGGCCTCCCCAGACCAGGCCCAGTGAGTCGGTCCTCATGCCTGAGGCTGGCTGCTCAGAGCCTTTCCATCCCCTCCTGCACCCATCTCCCAGCTTCTCCCAGGAGAGCTTGTACTCAGCTGCCTAGTCACCTAGAAAAGAAAACAGACCCTACCAGGTTCCTGCTGAATTTGCTGTGGCCCTTTGGCGGTGGGCTATGGGTAACATTTGACCTATAGCCTGGGTGTGCCCCTCCCCACAGGGCACGAGAGGACTGCCGTTCAGATGCCCAAGCTCGGGCTCTGCCCTGGAAGGGTCTCACGTGCGTGGTGTTCTCTTGGCAGTGTGAAGCTGAACGAACACTTCTTGAACACCTCGGACTTCCTGGACACCATCAAGAGCAACCTGGACAAAGCTCTGGGCCAGCAGTAGCGGGGGCAGGGAGCGCTGCCCGGCGGCTGTGGGGCACGGCTGCCCCCAGCACGAGGTGGAGGGTGAGCCTCATGGCCCCTCTCAGGAGGCCTTTCTAGGGGACGTTTTTTATAAGCAAGATGTTTTTAAAAGTACGTATCTGCGTTTTCCCTCACGGTGACGTGAGGCAGGAACAGTGTGTTTTACCTCAGCCAGTCAGTATGTTTGGCATACTGTAATTTATATTGCCCTTGGAACACATGGTGCCATATTTAGCTACTAAAAAGCTCTTCACAAAACTGTCTGCTGTGTTTGTACCTGAGGGGAAGGAGGCAGCTGAAGCCCAGAGGCAGAGGCCCTCAGAGGGCTTGGTGATTCCACCAGGGACAGACTGAGCACCTCAGGGCACAGTAGGTCTCTGTCTTAGGCCTCTATCCAGTCAGGGGGCCACCACGGCAGGGTGGGGGGACCGGGCAGCAGTGGGAGCCTCCTGCATTCTACAGGAGAGGCCTCAGGAACTGCTGGGACTCTTGGGGCACAGGCCTGTGGGTTCTCTGGAATTTCCTAGCATGATCCGGTTCCTATATCCTGTTCTGCATTTTAGGATTGTTATTATTTCCTGATAGATTCTATTTTTATTTATTTTTTCTTTGTTGGTTTTAACCTCTTTTTAAACATCTCCAGACCTCTTTATTTGCCCTTTTCTCAGTCCTCAAAACAGGTCCCACCCAGTAGCTGCCTCTCAGTTCTCTTCACGGCCACCTGGGGCTGGGGGTTGGGAGTGTCCAGGCCAGTGGGTCCCAGACTTGGGTTCATCTTCACCATTCTTTGGCAAAACTAAAAAAGTAAGGTTATAAAGTTGCTATAAAGCTGAATAGGTCCAATCTAAAGGGGGTTATCTTTTATGCAGGGATTGATTATACTGTCATGCACCGCATAACAATGCTTTGGTCAACGACGGACCGCATATACAACGGTGGTCCCATAAGATTAATACCATAGAGCCTAGGATGGGCTGTAGCGCCCACGCACATGGGAGGCCCCCTTCTGTTTGAAAGACCACTCTTCCTCAGTAATTGCACCGAACTCCCGGGGCTGTAGGAAGAAAAGCTGGTGTGCTGGCTCTGCTAGGCCCAGCTCCTGGAGGGGAAGCTCAAGGTTTCTGGGCCCTTCTTGGTCATCAGTAGCAAAGGGCTGGCAGCTCCCCAGAATGCACAGCTTCTGAAGCCGTCTGGCATTGGGAGCTGGCTTCTGTTGTGGTGCCCTGTTGGTGGGTAAGGAGGGGCAGCGGCTTTTCTCTGCCAGTGGTGGGAATTCTGGGGCCTTGCCCCCCTGGCCCGCCCCGGGCTTGGAGCAGCTCGCTGTGGGGGCCTGGCCTGCCTGTGGCCATTCCAATGCAAAGGATGGTCTGGGTCCCCTCCAGGTCCCTGCAGACTGATGCCCCACTGTGTGGTGCCGGGAAGCCTTATTGGGAATTTCTTCTGGGGGAGGGGTGACGACCACATCCCCAAGAACCATGGAAAGAAGCACCTGCAGCACCTCACTAAAGAATATTCATTTATTTATAATTATTGCTAAGTAAACTTCTTTTTTAAACAGGAACATAAAAACACAGTAGGGCTTTGCACAAGTGGAATTTCTAAACAGTTGGTTTGTGTACATGTCAAAATAAGTTAGAATGGAATTCGTCCAGGAGTTTCCAAGTCACCCGAGAGGCCGCACGCCTCTTTTGGAAAGGTTGGGGAGGACTGAGGACAGGAGCCTTGCCAAGAGCACCCCGGCTCAAATCGTGAGTTGTGCTGTTTCCTTCTCTACGTTTTGCCCAGGTGCAAGGCACAGGGCAGGGGGGCGTTCAAGTATGGAACCTTGCAGAGGGCCACGCTGATGGCAGAGCTTGGGGGGAAGGAGAGCCCCAGCCTGGGGTTGCCAAGACCAAGGCCACTGTGCTGGCAGGGAAGAGGAGGAAGAGGAGGTACAGGGTTCTTTTTGGTACCAGGGGAGAAAGACGTTGTGGGAAGAGGTAGTTTGCAGGGGATGATGCTTCTGCTCAGCAGGAGAAAATGTCTTCTACAGTGACAGGGTCACTGCCACCTGAGGGTCATCATGGCGGGCACCTGGGAGGCCAGAGGGCCTCGGGGTCTGGAGAGCCACCCTTGGGGAGAGGCTCCTGTGACCCCCCAGCCCTCTTGTTTGTTGCCTCTCATTTGCTGCTTTGCACGAGCTCTAGCAGAGAAGGAAGAGGCACCTTGTCCTCCCCTCGGACCTGATCACAGCCACCCTGAGGCCTGCTTGGTCCTTCACTAAGGATTCAGCCTTGGGGGTAGCTGCATTTCAAAGTGGTTATTCCCACCCCTGGCTGTTCCCCCCCTGCCTGGTTTCTGGGCTGAAGCTGGTGGCTTCACCTCCTTCTGTGCCTTTGGGGACGGCCCTGCCTGCCCCTCCCCTCTGAGGCCTCAGGAGGCAAGTGGGCAGGGGCTGGGTGCCCCAGCGTTCCTGAATGTGCTGTTTCACTGCCCTGGGCCTGTCTGGGGTTCCAGGGACAGGAGCTGGCATGGGGACAGAGGCAATGAGAGCAGGCAAGCGAGGGAGAGAGCTGCTGGCTGTGCAGAATGGAGCAGCCCTGGCCACTGTGGGGGTGATGCAGAGCGAGTCACCAGCCAGAGGAGCCGGGCAGGGGCTGGAGGGCCTGCCCAGCCCTGCCTCTCCTGCCTCTCACTCTGGCCTCCTGAGGCTTCCTGCCAGCAGCCGCACCTCCAGGGCCAGAGCAGCAGTCCCCTCCAGCCGAGCCCTGCCTGGCCAGGACGCTCTGGGTTGGGGAGGCACAAAGCACACACAGCACACAAGAAAACTTCTGTTGGAAAAAAAGAAAATGATCTCCATCAGAAACGATAATAGGCGAGACAAAATTGGAAAGAAGAAAAAATAAATTACGTTTGAAATACCCCATTGCTCAAAAAAATTTTTTTCTCTATGGTCTTCATTTTCCTTTTTAAATATGTTGCTCTTCCCGGGAGCCTGCTGACTCTTGGCTGTCCCATCCTCAAAATGGATACTTGTTTTAGGAAAATACTCCAGCCCCCTCCCCCCATACAGGTGGTCCTTGGCCTCCCCTGAGGACAGCCCCCCATGATCCCGTCACTGTGCCCTGCCCCTCACTCAGGGGGGCCCAGTTAGTATGTGCCTGATGCAGGGCACGTCCCAGCTTTGTTCACACTGGGGGATCCTGGTGTGGTAGCCCAGTTGAAGACAGAATGGATGACATTTGTTGAAATCCACTTTAGGGACCCCTACTTCCAAACAGGGCTGTAAGATGGGGGACTTCTGGGGGTTGGCTGGAGAGGGCATTAGCTGGGGGCTGGGCTACACCCCGCTTTCCTAAGGCCAGGACTGAGGCTGCATGCACGCCTGGCTTGAGGAGAGCACGGGAGGCACCAGGAGGTAGAAGACAGAGGGCCCTGCCTGGCTGTCCGTGACAGGGTGGGGAAAGGGGCTCTAGGGCCTGGGCTTTTCTGAGCCCAGGGGCTGGTGGGGGGTGGGGGGGGCAGTGCTGACTAGCACAGGAGCTCACACATCCCTAGAGGCAGGAGTTGGTCCAGAGGAGGAACAAGGCATGGCTCAGTGATCTCTTCCTCCAGCGTCAGGACCCTGAGGAGCCATCGGGAATGCCCTGCCCACACTAGCTGCCCCAGCTCTGCTGGGCCTGGAGAGACCTGAGAACCTGTGCCCTTGTGACTAGTCCCCAAATGGCCCCCCTCAGCTTTCTCCCACCCTCCCACAGCAGCAGGCAAAGGAGACCCAGACCCGGCCTCCTGTATTATCCTTCCTTCCCTGGAATGCTGGGGCCTGTGCCTGGTTCACAGCTGAGGCCAGTAGTACAGTCTCCATTTGGTCTAAAAGTCCCTAGTGGTGCAAACGACTCGGTGGGAGGGGAGGGTCAGGACAGTGGGGCAGTAGCTTGTTCTCAGCGGCAGGAGGTGCGCCCGCAGCCCATGGGTCTCACCCCCACACCCTAGGCCCTCCTCGCCCCTCTGGCGGCCCGGCTTGTGCTATAGCACGTTGTAGTAGGCCATCTCCTTCATGGCCTGTTCAGTGAGGACGCTGGCCTCGGCACTGCTGTCTACACCGCCGTAGGTGTAGGCATTCTCCTCGAAGTCTTCCATCTCCTGCTGGCCATCAAGTTCAGACGGGTCGGTGCCTGTCAGCTCCATCATGGGGTCTGCAAAAGAAGGGCACAGTTAGGCCTGGATGCTGCCTTGTGGGGAGAGCCAGTCACTCCCACACAGGAAGCAGATGACCCTTCTAAAGAAAAGACTTCCCAGGCATTGCTTCCAGAGAATTCTCAGCTGCCTGTCTGCCTTCCTGCTCTGGGAGGTCCCAGGCTCCTGTGGCTTCTCAGATGGGTCACTAGATCTGAATCCTAAAGGTGTGTGTGTGTGCAGGGTGGGTGCAGGCCCGGCCCTGAACTCTTCTTTGGGTCAAGCCTCTATTGCCCCTCCTAAGACACTAAGTCCCACTTCTGTATTCTCTACAATGTCTCTCACGGGTCCTATGACCAGTAGGCATTTGCCATATGAAAGGCTGCTGCACTACATCCCCTCTCTGCAGCACCACTCATCCAGCACCTACTGCATGCAGGCACTTCACACCCATGGCCTCGGGAGTGTTCGCAGCAACCCCATTTAGGAGATCAAAAGGAAGTTCAGAGAGGTTAATCAGCTTGCCAAAGGGCACCAGCAAGTGCTGTTGTTTTGATCCACTGTGCCACTTTGCCTCAAATGGCTGGAGAGAGCTGGTTCTCTGACCTCCTGCCAGCGTTAGTGCTTTAAACCAGTTCTACCCAGTGGTCTCCCTGGGCCTTGCTTGTCAAGGACAAACACACACCGAGGTTAACAAAGATGCATGAGGCAAAAACTCTAAGAGGCCTCTTGTAATTTTATCAAATAGAAATCCTATTATAAAGCTCTTAGTGTTAGAACAAAAGCCAGATGCAGAACTCTACGGAGGAGGCCTGGGGCTGCCTTCCTATGACATGCCGAGGGAGGGAGGCCTGGGTCTGATCTGGGGACCCTGGGAGGCTGGCTGGCAGGGACTGTGGCTGTGCCCTCATGTGCGTTCTGCCCTGTCTACCTAGGAGATGCGATGTGTGTTGGGGAGAAACAAACTCAGCCCAGGGTGTAGCCCTGATAAGTCTAAGGCAGGGTTTTTCAGTTTGGGCACTACTAGCATTTGGGGCCATAATTCTTTGTGCTGAGGGGCACCGTAGGATGTGCATAGTGGGAGGTTCAGCAGCACCCCTGGCCTCTACCAGCTTTAGATATCAGTAGCATCATGCCAGTTGTGACAACCGAAAATGTCTCTAGACTTGGCCAAATGTCCCCAGGAGGCAAACACATCCCCACTTGAGAACCACTGGTCTAAGGGTAACCCACTCCTTGCCATTGAATGGTTCTGGAATAGGCATGGGACCCAATTCTAGCCAATGAATCATGAAGAAAGGCCTGCTAGTGAGTTCTTGGAATGTTCTCATTGGTTTCATAGAGCAAAGGGGAATAGGCTGTTACTCTCCCACTGGATATGAACTAGGAAGCACATTGCCCTGAAGGCCACTGGCAGCCATCTTGTGACCATGAGGAAAATCATACCTAATGCTGTGGAGAGACAGGGGAGCCTCACCCTGATGTCATTGTTAGAGAGGCTGAATCAGCTGACTCTGAAAATGGGCTGGACTTCAAGTCATTTCTTAGTCTATTTCCCTATTGTTTAAGCTAGTCTGACTGTGGTGTCTATTATGTGTGCCCAGAGCATCCGACGCACTGGGTCTTCCTCACTTTATAAAACAAGGCTAACTGTCCCAAATTTTATAGACCCTAGGCTGTTTCTTCCTCGAATCCTAGTTCCACACCCTGATATCATACAGCTGATTAGAAACAAGCTAAATAGAGCACTCTGGGAAAATTTCTACCTCTGGATCTCTGTAAACCCCCCTTTGTTTATCTTTATTAACTCTATTGGTCCTGTCCAGTTGATCCCAGGAAATAGTCTGTACCATTTTTTACAAGGACATTGATCTGGCTCCCAAATGACAATCCTGTAGTTTATTAGGTGGTTCCATCTAGAGCGTATGCTCCCTTCCTCCTGCACAAGCGTCAGGCCTGGGCTTCTCAGATCAAGGTTACACGTGAGAGGCAGGCGGACTCGGGTCTGGGCCGTTCCAGTGCTGTCACTGCTTTCCTCTCTGTCATCTGTACAGTCAGGAAGAAACAGTCCTCTGCACCCTGCTTCCTGGCCTCAGGGAGAAAGAGCCTGCGCCTTAACCACCCCCTGGGGGCAAGGTGTGCAGGAGCAGCTATTTCCAAAAGGACACGTTCTGCTGCAGTCCCTCCGGTGGTTAGATACAGCACAGGTCCGCTAGAGCAGTGGCTCTCAAACTCCACTGCACATAGAATGACCTCGAGCGCTTAGAGAGATCCTGCTTCTAGGCCAGGTGCCAGATCAATCACATCTGAATCTCTGGGGTTGAGACTCAGGCATCAGCATTTAAAGTTCCCCAGGTGCTTCCAACGTGCCGCCAAGTTTGAGAACGAGTCCTCTAGAGTCTAGATCAAGGGTCTCAAAGTGAGGTCTCTGACCAGCAGCTTCGGTAGCATCTGGGAACGTGCTGGAAACGCAAATTCTCTGAGCCCACCCCAGACCTACAGAATCCAGCTCTGGGGGGAGGCCCAGCAATTTGTCGTCACAGGCTTCCACATGATTCCGACGCACACTGAGGTTTGCAAACCACCACTCCAGTTCCACGCTTCTCAAACTTCACTGTGCACACAAATCACCTGGGATCTTTCTGAAATGCAGACCCTGATTCGGTAGGTCTGGGACAGGGCTGTGCCTGTGGTTCTAGCAAGAGCCCAAGTAATGCCAATATTGCTGGTTCTCGTCCCGCATTTTGAGGAGGAAGGGGCTCCAGAGAGCATTTACATGCAGCCAACAGGGTTTCATCCTCAGCACGAGAACTGAAAACCAAGGACACCTGTTTCTTTCAGAAAACCCAGGTCATTACTGGTCAGCTGCTGCAAAACCAAATCAGGGTTGTTGCAGCCAGCCCCTAACATCTGATCGACGGGTAGTGAGTAATCTCATAATGGCAAGTGAACGCCTCTGGTTACTGTCGAGGCACATTCCCAGCTAGTTGGTCTTAGAAGGAGCATCAGAGAGTCAAATAGCTCCAGACTGTACAAGGAGCCTTCCTGAAGTGCCATTGGCTCCTCCCTCCTGTAGAATCTCTAAAGCGCCTCCTCCCCACAATAAGGCCAGAGAGACTAAAGTTCTTCCACTACTGATGAGTGTTGAGGGAAGACGCTGTCACTAATGCTTAGGGATATTATAACAGCCCATGAAACATCTACCAACTGTAGAGGTGAGGACCCTCTCTTGAGTACTTGGGTTACATTCTCTTTGGCAGGCACTATGAGGAGTGTGACTGACTGTGTTACACTCTTTGCCTTGGCTGCTGGGAAGCTCAGAGCTTCCCTGTGCATGTCCATTGGACCTCCCATGGTGCACCTGGAATTGTGACCTTACCTGGCTCTCCTTTATCTTTCCAGTTGCCATTTTTCCCTTTTGTTACTTTCTTTCCCATCCATTTATTTATTTATTTATTTTTGTGAGGAAGATCAGCCCTGTGCTAACATCTGCCAATCCTTTTTTTTTTTGCTGAGTAAGACTGGCCCTGGGCTAACATCTGTGCCCATCTTCCTCCATTTTATATGGGACGCCGCCACATCATGGCTTGCCAAGCAGTGCGTCGGTGCACGCCCGGGATCCGAACTGGAAAACCCCATGTACTTAACCACTTGCACCACCGGGCCGGCCCCCCCATCCATTCATTTTAAATGTCATCTCATAGTAATGAGATAAAGTGTCTGTCACCTCTTGTGTGTTGTGGTCTAGCATGAGTTACCTTACTTCTCTGTCCTTCAGTTTCTGCATCTGTAGAATGGGGATAACAACAGGAACAACCTCTGTGAGGGTCCTGTGAGTTAATAAAGGCCTGGCACACAGTTAGCAGTTAATTGTTTATTATTATTGTTTATGTGAGCCCACTTAAGTCCTTTGAAGAATACACGACTATCCCATCATTATCACTATGATGGTCCTCCAGGGTGCCCCCTCCCCAGACCTGGGCCCACCCCAATGAGGTGTCAGGCCTGGCCAGCCTCCCCACCCCCCTGCCTGGACAGGAGGCTCCTGCGTGTGAGATGGTGGTACCGCTCCTGCTCCGTCCACTGCGCATGGCCCACCCACCTTGGCTGTCCAGGCCGATGTCCATGACGCCGTGCTTGACCTTCATGTGCCGGCTCAGGTTGCCCTTGAGGTTAAACTTGCTGGAGCAGTAGGGGCACTTGAAGGGCTTGCTGCCCGCGTGCAGGTGCATGTGGCCCAGCAGGTTGTACATGCGGTTGAAGGACTTCCCGCACACCTGGAACACAGCATCCCAGCATCCTCAGCTCTTGGGGATCCCGGCCTCCCAACCCCCAGCCCACTCCCTCCTCCACGGCTGGGCTGGAATCCCATTTGTTATGGACAGCACTCGCTTTGTCCTTTCCTGTGTGACCCCAGAGGCCCAAGAGGCAGAACCGAGCCACTCCTCGCTGGTCACTGTTCCTACGGGTCCGCCCCACTCTCTCTGAGCTGGAGTTATCAAAACCCAGGGCTCAGATCTCCGACTGCACTGAGGCCCATGCCTGGGCTCTTTCCCCGTGGCTGCACTGTGACCTTCACCCCCCCTCCCAACTCTGAAAAAACACAACTTCAGCAGCTTGTGGGATCTGAACCCCCCCTGCCCACGCCAACCCCCAAAGCCCAGGCAGCTTCACTCAGCCAGGGTCCCTTGCCCGCACTGGCCAGGCCGGCTCTCGTTGGGTCTCAACTGCTGCGGCCATGCTGCCTCCAGGCCACCGTGGGGAAGTCCTGCCTTGGCCCGACGGCCTGGTACCTTGCATTTGAATGGCTTCACAGGCGAGTGGACAATCATGTGAGTCTTGAGGGTCTGCTTCTGCACGAAGGTCTTGAAGCAGATGTGGCACTGGTAGGGCCGGACGCTGGTGTGGATCAGCATGTGCCGCTTCATGTTGGCCTGCAGGGTAAACTCCCGGCCGCACACCTCGCACTTGAACTCCTTCACGCCCTGCGGGGGTGGGGGGGTGCTCAGGGGCACGCAACTGGCACGGCCTCTGGAAGTGTGTGTGTGTGTGTGTGTGCCACAGCGTCAGAGTGTGTGCGCAGCTTCTGGGAAATAACTTCCTGGGGGGTTCCAAACACGGACCACTTGTTTAAAACCACTGGGAGAATGTTGGGGCAGGGCCACTACTCCAGGAAGCCTTCCAGTATTAGGCAGAGATTAGCTGGGCCATACTGGTCCTACCCACACACCTGCTGTCTCCTGCTCACCTGGGCAGGTGTCCACGAAGGTCTATACCAAGGCAATTGTGTTCATTCATCCACCGGAGCCCACCCACTGACCCCCAGAGAGAGAGCTTTCCAAGCTTCCCTGGTGACAAGAATCACCTGTAGTTCTTGAACATACAGGCGCTCAGGCTGCTCCCTGGAGATTCCCATTCAGTGGGTGCAGGAGTTTTTAATCTCAGCAGGTCCCCCAGGTGATTCTTATCATCGATGAAGTTTGGGACACTCAGCCCCAAGGAGACAAGGACTCGGGGGACAGCCCTTTCGTTTGGACTGTCAGCATACTTTTCCACGGTCTGGAGGTGACCCCTAGAGCAGGATAAGGTGCTGTGTGCACAGGGGGTCCAATTTATTCTCAGCAGGGGAGAGGTAGGACACAAGTTGGGAGCTGATTCTCTTTGCTGAGTAATTCAGTAGAACCCCAGTGGTACAGACACGTCTCTGTGGTCACAGCTGCTGTCCCAACTGCTTGTTTGGTGCAAAGTCTCATGTTATAACTTAATGGTTCCCATGTCAATTTCTTTCAGCAGACAGGCCGGATCACGTGTCTTGTGTAGTCACCGGACACATGGAAGCTGTGCATGACCACCAGGGGGCGCTGCCCTGTGGGAGCTCACTCTAAGTGCCTGATGTGCACACTGTACAAATTTAGGCTAATGATAGGGATGTTTTCAATTTTATTAGCCTTTGATTTTTGCTTTCAGCTTTTTTTCACAGTTTTACTTATCTTTTAACACTTTGAGGACTTTGTGGGGATTTTTAAGGTCTCTAGTAGAGAAGAAAGATGGCACATAGATAGCACATGTTAATTATCACTTTCCACTCTCACCCCCTGCAAACATTAATAATCAATCATCTGGTTTTACAGCCAGGCCCAGATTCAGCTTCAGAATCCTTCTTAACACTGCACTCTAGGCAGCTACACCAATTGACTGGAGGAGCATCTGCAACAAAACCTACAAATCATCTTTGTTCTGGCAGAAAAGGGTCCCGGGGCTGGGGAAGGCCGGATTCCTGGCCTGGCAGACTAGTGCTCCCCACTCACTGCAGTGTCCTCTGGGAGAGGTAAGGACACACGTTTGACCTGGAGCATCTCTAAGGCTGCCATTATGGAGAGAGGAAGCTCTACGCACATTCAGCTTCAAAGCATGAAGTTGGTGGGATTTAGGGTAGAAACCATGCGCAGGCCAAGCCCCAGAGTGGCACTGTGGGACCTGAGAGTGATCAGACAGCGGTGCTCAATTTTCCATCACCACAAACCACTTTGCCTAGTTTAGCCATATTCTAGAACCAACTAGACTTTTCCATGACAAATATTTTTCCTTACATTTATGCCCTTTAAAAATGAAATATATTCAGCTTTTTCCTAAAGGGAAGTCACAGGTTTTGGATCACAAGGAGCAAAAGAAGCCCTCTGGACTTCTGACCATCTTATCCATCTCCCCGTGGCATCCTGGCCATGGTCCTCCATCTATAAAATAGGGAGGGGAGGTGACTTCAGTGATTCTCCAACTGTATTCCTTGGGTCCTGCAAGGGTTCCTTAAACATTTCATCCAAAAAAATTGTTTTAATAAGTAAGGTTTTTACTATTTAAAAAACTAACTTCAATTCTATTTTTTTCTAATACTCATAAAAATAAATATGTAACTATAGAAATAAGAAATGTGCACATGTGTACCATCTATATTACAGCCTCAGTGATCTCATCTGGGACTTCGGGAGGCACTGGATGGAGGCACGGCAGGAGCAGGCAGAGCCTGAGGTGGAACAGTCCCCACGGGCCACGCCGTGCAGGAGGGGGGCCCACGCAGGCGGCCTTACCTTGTGCGTGAGCGAGTGCTGCTTGAGGTGGTGGATCTGGCTGAACTCCATGCCGCACTCCGTGCACACGAAGGGCCGCACGTTCTGGTGCTTGAGCATGTGGTTCTGCAGCTGGCTGCGGTAGTGGAAGGACTTGTCGCACTGGAGGCACTGGTAGAGGGTGGGGCCCTGGTGGGAGGCCAGGTGGCGCTTGAGCTGGGTCAGGGTGGAGAAGTCCAGGCCACACTCGACACAGACGTGGCAGCGGCCGCTCTCGTGCTTCACTTCGTGGGCCTTGAGCTCGCTGGGGTAGGCAAAGCCACGGCCACAGAAGTGGCAGCTGTACGGCTTGACCTCCGAGTGCAGCAGCATGTGGCGCTTGAGGTGGCTGGTCTGCGTGAAGGCCTTCTGGCACACCTGGCACTTGTGGGGCCGGGTGCCCTGGTGCGTCAGCAGGTGTGTCTGCAGGTGGCTGGGCTGCTTGAAGAGCTTGCTGCAGTGCGGGCACGAGTGCGGCTTGATGCCGTTGTGGCCCAGGATGTGCGTGACCAGGTTGTACTTGGACGTGTAGGACTTCTCGCACATGCGACACTGCCAGCGCTTCTGGCGGTCGCCCGCCTCCACCAGGTAGGAGTCGTCGATCTGCACGTTGATGTCCAGCCGGTCCAGCTGGGCCTTCTTGTGGCGCTCCACTGTCGAGCCTGCCACGTCCGCCTCAAACTCGCTCGCCTCCCGCCACACGAAGCCCTGCTCCGGCTTCACGGGCTCCGGGGCCTCCAGGGTGGGGGCCTCAGGGTCACTCAGGGGGGCCAGGTGGGCCGGCTCGAAGCCGCACTCCGAGGGCAAGGACTCCGGCCCGGGCAGCGCCATGCCGGGCTCAGGGAAGCCGTTCGGGGCCGGGTCGGGGAAGCGGGGGTCGTAGGGGGCTGCGTCCAGCTCTGGCCGGGGGGCCCGGGGCAGGTGCCGCAGCGGCCGGGGCTTGCGGCTGAAGGCGCTGAGGTCGATCATCTTGACGGCGCTGCTCTGCACCAGGGCCTCACAGCCGCCACTGGCCGCTGCGGCAGGGGCCTCCGCAGGGCCCACATCCTTGTCCTCGCGAGGCACAGACACCTCGTAGACCTCCTGCTCCTCCGCCTCCTCCACCTTCTCGAACTTGACCTTAGGCACCAGGCGCACGGGTGGCCGCGTCTTCCGCCGGGTGTGCTTCTCGAAGGCCGCCTCCACCTCCAGCACCTCCTCCTCCGCCGGCTCCTCCAGGGCCCGCCCGTTGCAGGCCAGCTGGTAGACGTCGGGGCCAGGGGGCCTGGGCTCCCCTGTGGCCACCCCAGCCAGCTCGGGCCCCAGGTCTGGGTAGAAGGCTTCGGCGCTTATGGTGGCTCCAAAGAGCTCATTTTCCGAGACCAGGCCCAGCACGGCAGCCTGAGCCAAGGACAGCACCACCACGGCATCCGTCTGTGTCCCTGAGTCCATAAAGCCCTCCATCCCGCAGCGGCTGGCTAGGAGGGCATCGCTGTGGGGGGAGAAGGGAACGTCAATACTGCTGGCTCAGTGCTGCACAGACAGACAACAGACACACATTCAGCAAGGGCTCGGCTAATGCCGGGTATGTCTGTCCCTGACAGCTTTCTACTCCTGCCTTGGGAACAGGACACGCTAATTATGGGGAGCAGTGACACCCTCTGTGTATCTGACCATCTCCTCCATCTCCCTATGGGATCCTGGGTAAGCCCCGCCCCCTGGCTGGCCTCAGTCTTCCCATCTGTGAAACACGGAGGGTGGATTTCCTCAGTGGTTCTCAAACCGTGTTCCACACATCCTTCAGGAGTTCCTCAAAATTCGGATTCAAAATTGCAAAAAATAAAGATTCTTCTATTTTAAAAACCTATCCACTTAAATGTAATATAGACTGCATTCCAACACATTCAGTAGCCCCACTGGCTTTGTTGCCAAGGTAATTAATTTTGCGTAGACCTTGAGACTGTACAGTGAGGTGTTAAACAACTGTTACCATTTGTAACGGCTTGGCCATATAAATAAGGTGTTTTTGTTTTTCAAAAAAATATATATTGGGCAAAAACAAGGCAACACAAAAATAAATTAGGTGGTGAGGCTGCTTTCAGACGGCAGTTCCCACCCATAAGCCCTGATGCTAAGTGTTTGTGTCTATCACAACAGGTCACTGTTCTTGATTAGCTAAATGGTATACATTTAAGTATGTAAATGTATACTGATTATAACATAGCTTTTATCTGATTTGTACACTGGAATTCCATGTACGATCTGATTTGAAAGAAGGGCTCCGTGACAGCTAACATGTTTGAGACAACCGTCTGAAATGAATGCTAAAACTGGTTCCCAGGTTCACAGTCACGCTCTCTTGATCTAACAGGTTCTTCTAAAACAGCCAATGTGCCCACCTGTCCAGGTCCAGACTGCAGGCACATTGGCTTCCTGCCTTCCTTGTGCTTACTCGTGCAGCTTAGCTTTGCACACGGGTCCCCCACCCCGAGTGCCCTTTCCCCAACCCCACTGAGCTCCTGGCTCCTCCCACCAGCCTCCCAGGCTTCCCTCAAATTCCACCTGTTCCTGGGGCTGCCCAGCCCTCCCGCTAGCCCTGGAGCCCTCTCCGGGCCTCCCCAGGACTATGGTGGCACAGAGAGCAGTGCGCCCCGGATGTGGGAGGGCCTCCTCCCTGGCCTCGGATACTCATCATGATTGTACCCCCGCCCCCGGCTCGGCGCCTGGCATATCGGAGGCTCCATAAGGAAGAGGACAGACATTACTGGGTGGCTCCTGCCTGCTTCGCCCCCTCTCCTCCCAGGAACGGGGTCAGGCGCATGGCCCGACGACGGTGGCCCTTCCTCAGGAAACCGGCGCCCGGCCTGGTGTCTCCCTTCCCCCACGGCCAGTGGAGCTTCCCCTTCCTGAAGCCGGCTAAAAATAAAATACCCCAGACAGGAATTCAGCCTCCTTGAAAAGGACACTCAAGATTAAACTATGAAGCTGAAGGGGTCAGATGGAACAAAACCTCTGACACGGGGTTCAGGGTCCATCTGGAATGGGCTAGAGGGGCTAAACCTGATTCAGAGACCATTCCCACCCCCCTGTTGGAAAGAGCACTCAACTGGGAGTCAGGCAGCTTGGCCACAAGTCTCAGCCCTGTCATTTACAAGTGACTAAGCAAAGTCACTTCCGTGCCTCAGTTTCCCCATCTAATACATGGGGATGAAAACACCTACCCTTGGAAGGGTTGTGAGAGCCCTGAGGTCATAAAGTAGGTGAAGGGGCTTACTTAATACTAAAGCCCTCACCAAATGTAGAGAAGCACTGTTATCAGTTTGCTCAGATCTCTGGAAGAGGCCTTTTCTGATGAAAGCCACAGAGCTGAGATTTCTCCATTCTAGGCCCCAAATTCAGCAAAGGTTTGCATGAATCTGCAGACATCCTCTGGGGACCAAGAACTTATTCATTCATTTATTTGTGCAACAAGTATCTGCTGACTCCCTGCTATGGGTGAGGCCCTGTGCTCGGAGAGGCAGGGCAGAGGAGGCAGGGTCCCTGCCGCCTGGAGGCCACAGAGGAGACCGCTGTGCCCCCCACAGGCACCCCGCGGGGAAGCGTTGCTGCCTCGGGTTGCAGCGGCTTGTCTGACATGGCGCCCAGCAGTACCCAGAGGCAGCCCTCGTGTCTGCTGTGCGTTTGAGCAAAGGACAAACTCGGCATTTTTTTCTAGACTTCCCCAAAGGCAGGGCCAGCAGAGGGGAGGAACTGACCCTCGACAGCGGAGCCCATGCTGGGGACTTGGCCCTGGATTCTGAGTCCAAACCCAGGCTTTGCCCTTTTCTAGCTTGGGCACATCCCGCCATGTCCTGAGCCTCAGTTTCCTCATCTCTATGAAGGGGGAAGCAAGCGGTGCCTGACTCATGTGTCGTGAAGAGATGGGGTCAGGTTGTCAGTATGGATGTCAGTTCCCTTCCTTTCCTTTCCTCCTCAGCCCCAGTACCTGGCACCACGCCTCTCCTCGTAACCTCAAGGGAACGGGAGCAAAGAAACTGTCAACACGGCTCCATCGGCAGAGGAACCAGTGAAAAGTCAGGCAGCACCTGCCAGTGGGAGCCGGCGCCCAGGTCTGGCGTGGTCCTCCACAGGGAGGATCACTGTGTAATTTACCATCCCTGTCAGGAGGGACCTGCTAAGTGTGAAAGGGGCCACTCCTAACAATCACACCAGGACCTCAGGTGCAAGCCAAGCCTTGCACCCGTCAACCACGTGAACCCTCCCCATGGGTACAGGCAGGCGGTTTCGACTTTGGGGCTGAGGATTGGAGAAGGTGTTTCAGTGTCGGGAGCCTCTGCCTGGGTATAAAAGAGGACCTGCCCAGAGTCCTTGCTCTTGAGGGATTCATGCCCAAGTTGGGGGGACACAGAGGTGCCAACAACTAACTACAAACACGGGTAGAAGGGCCAGCTTCCCAATAGTGAGTGCTCAGAAGTCCCAGGTGAGCCATTTAATCCTAACAACAACCTCACTGGGGGTGGAGGTGGTGAGCAGCCCATTTCACAGCCCAGGAAACAGGGGTCTAAGGAACATGTCGTGTGCCCTGTCAGTTAGGGGCAGAGCTGGGTCTGCACCTCCATGGGTCTGGCCCCATAGTCCAGCCTCATCTGGCCTCCACCTCTCCAGCTCTGCTCCTCTGGCTCTGCCACCTGGGAGGTCACGTCATGGCTCTGAGCCCGGCCTCCTAGCTCGCAGGTGCTGCCCTGCCCACCTCAGGTTTCGAGGAGCCAGCAGGAAGGTGTGGGCAGGCCCTGGGCAAACAGTGAAGTGAAGCCTCAGGCCTGTTCCTGTCTGGCTGGTCCAGGGGCCCACCCAGACTGGGGACCTGGGACTCCCTGAGGGCAGCCAGAGGCCCCCCTTGGGTCTCCGCGCAGACAGCACTCTTCCTGGAAGTCTTCATCCACCCACCTGCCCGCCTGGACCTCCAGGCCCCTGCTTTCTTTTACGATGGATGGGCACTGAACTGGCCAGAACACAGCGCCCCGTAAGTGCACGTTTAACGGGGCTTACAGGGTGGGCTGGGCCTCCGTGTTCACGCTGGCCTGTTCACTGGGGCAGCGTGGCCAGGCAGGCCGTGTGCGTAGGAGGGGCTCTGTTTGTGGAGACAGAGGCCCAGAGAAAGAACACAGAGGGAATCTAATATACCTGCATTTCGCATGCGTGTTCCGTCTGTCTATCAAACAGAAACGAGCAGTGGAAGCTGGAGGCTCTGCAGCCCGGGAGTCACTGTTCCTCCTCCTGGGCCATCTTTTTTGGTCCCCCGCCCCTCCTCTGGGGCTACAATCGTGCTGTGTTATGCCCTGGCACAGGGCTGCCCAGGGCAGGAGGGGAGCCCGCCAGGTGCGCACCACCTGTGTGCTAGGGTGCCCACCCCCCTCAAGGCCCCTTTTGGTCATCTGCCCCGGGCCCCCTTGAGGCACCTCCCTTCCCAGGGCAAGGCCTCTCCCCCACTACTTGTGCTGTGGGCTCAGAACAAAAGCTCTCCACAAAGTCCAAGAGAAAGGGGAGCTCAGACTGCCAGGGCTCTCCAGGCCTCCGTTCGTGAGATGAGGGGCGTCCACCAGCAGGGATGCAGCCCGGCCTCCCACCAAGGCACCCGGTCCCCAGGGCGGAGAGAAAGGAAATGGCAGAGGCAGGGAAACAGAGGAGCTGCCTGATTGTAGTTAAAGACTTGTGCTGCGAGTAGGGGAAAGGGAGTAGGGGGAAGGGAGCCCACAGCAGAGAGAGAGAGAGAGAGACAGAGAGAGAGAGAGAGACAGAGAGAGACAGAGACGGAGGGCGAGGGAGAGAGAGGGAGGGAGGGAGAGGGAGAGAGGGAGGAGGAAAATGAAGAGACAGGGAAGGGGGGAGGCAGGAGCACAAGTGAGAGAGAGGGAGGAAGGGAGGGAGAGAGAGAGAGAGAGAAAGAGGCTGTGGAGGCCAAGAAACAAAAGCAGAGGAGGGGGAGGGGAAGGAGGAGAGTGGAGAGAGGGGAGGGACTGTGCTGTGACACCAGAAGCCCAGGGCTGCCCTATTTCCCAGGGCTCAGCATCAACCCCTCTGTGGCCTGAGGGCCAGGCCAGCCCCAGGGAGGGGCCCAAGTCTCATCCTCTGAGATCCAGCAGGAGGCCTGCCCCACCCAGGCAGGGACCCAGGCGCCCCAGAGACCTCACTGTTACTTCATCTATTGGTCGACTAGGGTTCCTCTAAACACCGACACAAGCTTGTCAAATGAATTAATGAGTGACTTGCTGCGGGCAAGTCACCTGACCCCTCAGGGTCTCGGTTTCTTCATCTGTAAAATGGGCACAAGAGGCTTCTTAGACCCTCAAGGGTGGGTTAATCCTTGGCCTACCTGCCTGTCATCCAGGGTCCCCTCTCCAAGATGTGACAGCACTTCCTCTCATCCCACACTACTCTAAAAGCCCCTTTTCTCTGACTGAGACCCCATTCACACATCTCTGCTCTGAAAGCAGGGGAGGGTCGGGGAGCACAGGGCGGCCAGTGTCCCTGGAACACAGACTGGGGCAAAGCTCTGGTGGAAGGCACTCGAGGCCTGGCCTGGCTTGGGTCTGGCGGGACAGGAGCCATTTTGAAGGGAGAACCAACAGGATTTGGTGGCCACCTGGCTATTCTCTGACTAACTGCCACCACCAGGGACATTTCAAAAGCCAACTGAAGACATAGTATGCTCTGGGCTCCTGCAGCCCAGCTGCGGGATGTCACCACGCACCCCGTGATCGGTTTGCAGTGATGACTATTTCTGAGAGCCTGCTCCCCAACATAGACTCCTCAGTGCCCCGGGCTTATGCTGGGATGAAGGTTTGCCCCTTCACACTGGCCTTGGTGGCTCAGAGGCTGTGGTCTCCAGTCTTACAACTGAATCTTTCTGCCCATCAGCCATCAGCAGCTATAGTGTGTGTGTGTGTGTGTGTGTGTGTGTGTGTGTGTGTGTGTGTGTGCCCTGTGTCCCTGGGAGCCAGGCCTCTAGGTCAGGAGATGCCGAGCCTGGAGCAGGGCGCAACAGGTAGCTGGGCCCAGGAGGGGCAAAGGAAGTCCTAAGGATATACATGGCTGTAAACCCTCATGGGACTTCAACTTGTAGCAAACCCCCTCTTTGTTTCCTCTGTGGCCCTCCTCACAGCAGCCTTAAAGGGAAATCCCCGGAAAGGAAGAGGAAGCGAAAGCAAAAGCTGGAGCCTTGTGCAAACCTCAGGGCTCCCTGCCACAGGCTTACTTCTCCCGGCCGGCCCTCCAGGCCTCACTGACTCAGCAGCGCAAGGCCCTGGGGCAGTCAGCGCTGCGGGCAGGACAGCCAAGGGGGAAGCGAGTGGGTCTCTTCCTTATAGGATTCTCTCTCTGCCTCAGCTCCCCCTTTTCTCTGTGGACAGATTCGCTGAGCCCTGCCTTCAGGAGTCAGAGTGGCTGGGCTACCGACACAAGGCCACCAACCCACAAACCACACGAGGGCCTGATGCTCACCATGCACAACCACTCTTTTTATAGATAAGGAAACTGAGGCCCAGGGAGGGGAAGGCACTGGTCCAAGGTCACACAGTGAGACGGTGGTGAAGCAAGGACTAGAGTACAGGTCTCTGGCCTAGAAGCCCACACTCAGCCCCATGGCCCATAGGGTGAAGTTCCCTTGCCTTAGCTGGCTGCCCGAGGCTGTCCCCAGCCAGGCTCCACTGGACCCTCCATCAAGCCTTCCTGCTCTCTGCACCACACACACACAGAGCTGTTTCCTACCTCTGGGCCTTTGCACAGGCTGACTCCTCTGCCAGGACTTGCCCTTCCCCTGCACTGGGTGAACATCCCTGCATCCTTTAGGATTCAGTGCAGGCATTGTCTCCTGGAAACATTCCTCAGCCTCTGGGGCAGGGCAAGGGCCTCTTCCACAGCTTGAGGACATCAGGTTAATTTTCTGTGCAGACTGAGCTAGGCTGTGGTGCCCCATTGCAGAGTCAAACCCTGATCTAGATGTTGCTGTGAGTCATCTCATAGATGGGATCAACATTTACACTCAGTTGACTCTGAGTGAAGCAGATCGCCATCCTTCATGTGGGTAGGTCTCATCCAATCAGTTGAAACCATAAGAGAAAAACTGAGGTTTCCCAGAGAAGAAAGAATTCCGCCTCGAGACCGCCTCCCAGAAATCCTGCCTAAGTCTCCAGCGTGCCAGCCTGCCCTGCAGATTTCGGACTTGCCAGTACCCACAATCGTGTGAGCCAATTCCCTAAAATAAATCGCTCCCTCTGAATATGTATCTTACTGGTTCTGTTTCTCTGAGAACCCTGAGACAATCACATTGATTCATAATTGTATCTGATTATGGGTCATCTCCCACCAGACGGTCCACTCCAGAGGACAGAGGTCAGGAACTGTAGGGGAACAGAGTGGGGTCCAGCAGGGGAGTGTCCTGAGAGAAAGACATAGGGAAAGGGGAAGAGAAGAAGCCAATGGACCCAGAATGAATGAATGAATGAGACCCAGGGGGAAAGCCTTGCCTGAGAGTTCTACAACAGTTCTACAAAAGTTTCTTTGCCCCATGGCCCGCCTCACCTCCAGGCTGCACAGAGAAGGGCTTCGCGCTGGCAGAGTCCCCAGGGGCTAGGCCTAGGAGCTCTGAGCTCTTCACATGTGACACCCTCACAGCCAAGACTGTTCTTCCCACAGACCTGTGACAGCAAGGCCTCTTCTGATGGCCCTTCTCCCACTGACCTCCCAGACCTGGGGGCACAGAGACCCATCCTGGGGGCCACACCTCTGCTTTACAAGCTGAGGGCTGAGGTGGGCTTGGCTGCCAGAGAACGGCCACTGTGTGAGGCCTCTCCCTCAGGGAGGTCACAGTGACCCCTAAACCCAAGGAGAGGAGGGACAGTGTTGCCATGGTGACAGGCACCCTCTTGGGCCCACTGTCTACATGTGACCTCTCAAATTCAAACTCTTCCAAGGGCAGAGACCCTGGCTCCACAGGGTCCAAATGGCACCGTTTGATTTGAGTACCAGTGCCCGGGCCTCCCTGGGCCACTTAAACCAGAATCTCTGGGTACAGGGACTAGATATCGTGTTCCCCAAAGCTCCCCAGTTGATTCAGATTCTCCAAACTACTTAGTAAGAGCTGATGAGCACTCGCACAGCGACCTGGCCTTGAGGGGGCACTAAGAGTGCCCCCTGAAGCTGTGACAACCCACCCCATGTGGGCTCCTTCCTCCCCCTCCCCTAAGGCAGCTGCCCGACTGCCAGCCCAGGGCCACCCAGCACAGCACCCCCCCACCACAGGCGGTTGGTACAGGAGCTGAGCCCAGACCTAAGGCCTGCTCCTCCCTACACCCCACATGGACTCAGGCCAAACAGGCTCCTCTCTTGGAAACGTGGCCAAGCATCAAGCCTCACACCCCCAACCACAGGAGCAGAGGCCCAAGGAACACACAGAGGCATGGCATGAGGCGGAGGAGGGCACAAACTCCAGGGGGCAGAGACCCTGAGGAAGCCGGGCCACCCTCTGAGGAGGATGGAGCGTGCACTCCAGAGAACCATGGCCAGAGAAGGACCGAGGCACCCTCAGGAGGCCTGGGGGGCCCTGGTCCCTGAGGCAGCCAGCCCCTGCTGCCAGCCTGGGAACTCTCGTTGACCCATCTTGTCCTGAGGGAAGTTGGGTGGGTGTCTGATCCTTGCAGAAACGAGCCTGCCTGAACTCATGGGGCGTCTGCTGCACACATTACTGGGGCAGATGCCAAGCCGCCTGCAGAGCCGAGTACAAAGCAAAGGCAGCTTCCCCCTGACGCAGGGATGGGAGCAATGCGGTGCCTCTGATCCGAAGTCACCAGGTCACCAGAAGCTGTGGGCTCTGGATTCTCCCACTGACGCCTCACACGCCCACTGAGCAGACACATCGGTTTCCTTACCACAAAGGAAGGAAGCTGGGCTCTCCTACAGCAGGACGGCGGCCTCACTGAAGGCCCCTCAACCCGGACGCTTTGGCTGTGTACCCTCAAGGCTGATCTTAGAATCTTCATCAGCAGGGCTGGAAGGAACTTTGGGGATCCTCCTGTCCAATGCCATCGCTTTAAAGACATGGTAACTGAGGCCACAAGGCTCCCACCCATGAGGGGGACTGACCTGAGAGCTCTTGATTCTCGGTGGGTTTCTGTCCATCCACATCGAACATGGTGGCCACCCCACATGCCCAGGCTGCCCCACCAGGGTGCTGGCCTGCAGCAAGTCCCGACACCTTACCAAGGGCCTATGAGAACTTGCTTGATTGGTCCCTGCTTACATGGCATCTTCACAGTATGCTACTTGTCCCCTTACTCATAACCCTTCACCCACATGGGCTTTTGTCATTTTCTTTAACAGATCTTCTTGTATGCACAGCCTTTTCACATGCTGTTCCCCATGCCTGGAATGCTCTTCCTTGTCCCTCATCCTTCAGCTTTCAACTCAGGCATCACTGCCTCTGGAAGCCTTCCTGGACTCCCTTCTCCCCAACCACGCCTGGTCCCTCAAGTTCTAAGCAGTTATAAGTTTAACACTTTTCCTTCTTGGACCTTGTCACATATTTAATGATAGATTTAATTGTATAATTACTTGCTCCATCTCTGGCATCCCAGTTAGGTCACAGACCCTACAAGGCCAGGGCAAAGAAACTGTTGGTGAGCTCGCCACTGCATTCCTAGCAGAGTGCACATGGAGAATGAATTGTCCCTTCTGAGAAGACCCGTATTTGAGTGCAAAGAAAAAAAACAAGCCCCTTGCTGAGCCCCAGGTAGAAAGCCTGGACTTCCTGTCTCCAAGCTTCAGCACCAGTGCCTGTTCCCAGGGGAAGGGACGGCAGGCCTCATGTTTCTGGAAGGCTCCATGTCTTTCCTCCAATTCCAGAAGCGAAAAGCACATCTGTACCCCAAACAAGAACACTGTGCTGGACCCAAAGATCAACAGCTTAACGCAACAGAGAAATGGAGAGAACTAGGGCTCACAGGCCATGGGGCAAAGACAAGGGCCCCAAACGAAGGAACACTGGGAGTAGTACTGGGCTGGGCTTTCGCCAGGCCCCTGACGAGCACACAGGGTTTCCAGGTTTCCAGGCAGCCCTCTGGTGTAGGGAGCACCATTTCCATCTTATAGTTGTGGGAAAGTGAGGCTCACAGAGAGGCAATCCCCGGCAGGCGGGATGGAGCAGACCCCAGCCGGGTCAGCCCAGGGCCCAGGCCCAGCTCTCTCTACCCTGCCAGCTCTGGGCGGGGATGAGCTTTCTGGGTGATGTCTTCTTCCCCTGCTGACCTCAGTTTCCCCACACCGGGGTCTGACTCTGGGAGCCCCTCATGGCTTCCCTTCCTCCTCACGAGCCTTGTCTCAGGCCCCTCCCACGCTGAGCCCTCTGCTTCTCCATCCCCTCTTCCTCTCCCTCCATTCCTCCCCTCCTTCAGTTTCCGTGGCAACCCCATCCTCTGCTCAGCCACTCAGTCCTGCATTCTCATCTCTTTCTTTCCTCTTTCATCTCTCCCCTCATTGCAGTGTATAGTCCAGATCCCCCTCTGTCCTTTGCTTCTGGTCTCTCGCTCCTTTTTACTCTCCTTTTATCTCATTCAATGTTCTCTTGTCATCTAAGGGTGACATTTATTTATCTCTTGCTTAAAAAAAAACAAGAAAGAAAAGAAGGAGGGAAAAAGAAACCCCATTTCATCAGTCCCAGCCTTCTTTCTCTCGGGTCATCTCCAAGGGTCAGACTCAGACAAATCCCAGATTGGACCCCCTGCCTGCCACCACGCAGGCTCTCTATTGACCTCAGCTATGGAAGGGAGGAAGAAAACACACAGGTGGGAGGTGTCTAGGGGATGAGGGCTCACTGCGGGAAGCCACCCTCGGGGGCTCGGCCCTGCTTCCCTGAGGCTGGGCTGGGGGAGACCCCAGAGGCCCCCTGAGGATAGAGCAATGCAGGACCTAGAGGGTGGGCTAAGCCAGGCCCAGAATCCCTCCTGATGCTGCCCCAGCAGGAATTCACTGCAGTTCAGGGAAAGCCCACCCATACTGACCCGTGCTCCTCCTCCGGGTCCCACCCTGCCTTGCGTGAATGAGTGAATGAGACACAGGGCCTGGCCCCAGGCCCGGGCACACAGCAGATGCTCAATGTACCCAGTTCCACTCACTGCCAACAGGATGGTGAGATTCAGTCATTCTTGACCGTGATCCTAAATTGCCTCTGAGAAAAGGAAGCGCCTGCTTGTGGGCTCTCCTAACCACATCTGTGTCTCCACAGTTTAAGGCAGAAGTCAGGGTTGTCAGCTCCTTCCAATTTCCTTTTAGCCATCATTTACTGAGTTTATACTATGGACCAGGCACATGATCCAGGCCATCCCAGGGAGACGGGCATTTTAATTTTCATTTTACAGATGAGCAAACTGAGGCTTGGAAAAGCTGTCACCTGTAAGAGGTAAAGGTAGGATCTGAGCGGGTTATAATCATGTTTTTCCTCTTTTACTCCCTTCTTCCTGTGTTCAGGGGAGGGGAGGGTCACCAACCGCGGGCCCTGCTTCCCCAACTCCCACCTTCTACATTTCTGTGTTTACTCTGGAGTGATTGGGAACGACAGGAGAAACAAAGAGATTTACCACAGAAAATAAAGCAGGATGATTATGGCTGTGGCCCCAGCATCCCCAAGTGACAGAGACAATAGAGGGGACTGGTAGCAAGTCCTCTAGGAAACGAAAGCCACCTGCAGAAGAAAGGGGCCCTGGACCTGTGGGAGCCCCCCAGGCTGTGTGAGCATCTGCTGGAGGTGTGACGCGTTGCTGGGCCAGGAAGGAGGTATTGGTGGCCCCCATGTCCCGGGACCCAAAGGCCCCACTGGAGTAGCTCCCAGCCCCTTCGGGTGCAGCTGGCCAGGTCCGGCCCAGGATGCAGCAAGGCCCGGGTCCAGGCTGCCGAGCCCTCAGAGGTGCCAATGACGTGACAGCTCTGCTTCTCCCCTAAAAGGCTGGCTTAGCACCTCTGGAGCCCCAGGAGCAGGTCCGAGGAGGGCAGGACTGGAGCAGCAGAGAGGGAAGGGGAGGGGAAGGACAGCCCCTGGCTCCACAGAGGACAGAGGGAGAGGAAGCAGGCTCTCAGCCTGGCGGGCCTGGCCTGCACCGCCTGCTCTGCCACTGACCAGCTGTGTGGCCCTGGGCAAGTTCCTCAGTCCCAGATCCCTCTAGGCCTCGGTTTCCCTGTCTGTAAGATGGGGATAGAGCTATGAAAAGGATCCACCACGTTTCGAGCCCTTCCTTCAGGCCAGGCTTGTACCTGAGGAGATCATGTACATAAAGCAGGTAATCTTGATAACAAAACCCACTTTACAGAGGAAGACACCAAGGCACAAACGAGTCGAGTGACCCTCCCAAGGTCACCAGACACACTGGAGAATGGGTGGAGTTTGGGTTTCGTTCTTGGGTCTAACTTATTATTATTATTTTTTTTGTGAGGAAGACCAGCCCTGAGCTAACATCCACACTAATCCTCCTCTTTTTGCTGAGGAAGACCGGCCCTGAGCTAACATCTATGGCCAATCCTCCTCCTTTTTTTTCCCCCAAAGCCCCAGTAGATAGTTGTATGTCATAGTTGCACATCCTTCTAGTTGCTGTATGTGGGATGTGGTCTCAGCATGGCCGGAGAAGCGGTGCGTTGGTGCGCACTAGGGATCCGAACCCGGGCCGCCAGCAGCGGAGTGTGTGCACGTAACCGCTAAGCCACGGGGCCGGCCCTTGGGTCTAACTTAAATGCTTGCACTTTGAAGGTAGAGGAGCTAAGGGAAATGGTGCCTGGTGAGGAAGTAGTCACGGGGAGCTGCTGCTGTTATTATTATTCCTCTCATCACCCACCCCGTGGCCAGGCTGGTGCTGGCTGCTGCTGGGGCACAAAGACCCACTCAGGGACCTCACAATTCAGTTAGTGAGACAAGACCAAAAACCATGGAACAGTTGAGCAAAGTATCAGAGGAAAGAAGCACTAAATGTGCGGGGTACCACAGAAGGACAAAGGAACTTTGCTTTTTTTTTTTTTTAAACTTAAGGAGTCAGGAACGTTCTTCCATGTAAACTGGCACTTTGGGAGGCAACAGAGACTCAGAGCATGGGCTGCAGACTCGGCCCCATCCCTTACCCGTTGCTTTATGTAAGCCTCAGTCTCCTCATCTGTGACACGGGATAATGGTGCCCACTTCCCAGAGTTGTTAGAAGGGTTAACTGAGCCCATTAGCCCAGCGAGCATGATCTGTGGTATTCAGTACACAAATGTTGGGCGGAGGGGTTGGGGAGGCCTAGAGATGGGAGAACAGATGCAGCGAGAAAACAGAGCCTGCCCAGGCTGGAGGCACAGGATGGAGAAGGGAAGGTAAAGAGGACAGAAGGGCAGCAGAGCTGGGCAGAGAAGGTGCTTGCCCGAGGGAGGAGCACGGGTAAGGAGTGTGGCCTGGGCACTGAGCCCTCGCTGCCTTTGTCACAGCAGCCAGAGTGAGTCATCCCAGGGCCTCCGCCCCAGCAGAGCCCCTGGCAGCGGCTGCCTCCTGAAGCCCATGTAATCAACATTTATTTTGCAGTCACCCACACATCCAACTTCAGTACGGACTTATGCCAGGAGAGGAGTAAAGAATGCCTCTCTCATTCACGTTAATGCCTCCAAGTATCTCCTGGGGGGAGGGAGAGCGGGCGAAATATTTAGGCTGAGAGTGTACACACGCAGACATCACACACAGACGGCCGACCACACAGGCCATAATCAGCGGCAAGCAGAAGCGACGTGCAAATCCATGCTTTCCTCAGTCACCTAACAGACGATGCTTTCCTACAGTGAGTTGAGGGGCAGGACCACGAAACAGGGGGAAGCCCGTGTGCATACGCACACTTGAGATCCCCGCAGTCTAGCTGGGGAGGGAAGATGCATGCAGGGAGGGAGGGAGCCCACAATGCAGTTGCGATATAAGAGGTTCAGGGGAGAGATTGGCAGAGAAGGTAGAAGGAGGAGGCTACAGCCACAGAATGGGGGCATCCTAGCCAGGCGCTGCTGGGTCTTGTGCGTTACCAGGAGCTACTGCAGAGGGGTGAAGGGAGCCTCTGGGCTGCAGGCCAGAGGAGAGGTGGGAGGAGGACTGAAGGGCAGAGACAGGAAAATCCCTGGGGAGGCCTGGCTGGAGGGCAGTGGGGCCTGGGAAGAGCAGGTCCCCAGAAGAGGGCAGGTCCACAGATGTCAGAGGAGAAAGTGCTCAAGGTGACCAGTTCAGCCCAGAGCAGGAACTGATTTCCTTTTTGATCTGGATCCTAAAGGATGACACTTAGGGGGCCAGCCTGGTGGCGCAAGTGGTTAAGTGCGCGCTCTGCTACGGTGGCCTGGGGTTCACTGGCCCGGATCCCGCGTATGCACCGATGCACCGCTTGGCAAGCCATGCTGTGGTGGCGTCCCATATAAAGTGGAGGAAGATGGGCACGGATGTTAGCCCAGGGCCAGTCTTCCTCAGCAAAAAAAGAGGAGGATTGGCAGATGTTAGCTCAGGGCCGATCTTCCTCACACACACACAAAAAAGGATGACACTTAGGAGCTTTAGAAGACCTCATCTGCAGAGTGGTGAGCTCTGGGCCACATGTCCCCAGGTGCTAAAATTCAAATGCATGTGGCGTTGTGACCCAAGGGCCAAAATGATTTCAGTGAAGGTGACTTATAAAACAAGCAAATGCCGGGCCTTCACTAGGGGTGTTTGCGGTAGAGTCGAGGGTCTCCTCACCACACGTCCTCCTGTGGGGACAGCCTGTGGGGTCTGAGGCCCTCAGGGCAGGCCACGGAGTGCAGGGTGGGGCCCCTTCGCTGAGGGCCGCAAAAGGCACAGGAGTCAGCTTGGCCACTTCCTGTACGGCCTTGGGCAAGCTGCTTCATCTCTCAGAGCCTCAGTTTCCTCAACTGTAAAATGGGATAACAGCTGCCTTTTCCACAGGATGACAGAGAAGATTAAATAAGATAATTCGAGTGACAGTGCCTGGCCTGGGGGCTGGCATTTGATAAACGGCAATTTCCTGCTTTTACCACTGCAATCTATGTACACACACAATGTGAACCACACAGGGCCCCAAGATACTTGGCATATTCTAATTATCACTAAAAACACCTGTAGTAAATCCCACGAAGGAGTGGTAAAGAGCATGACCACTTGGGAAAAGCTGCTGCTCTTTTGAGGGAGAAAAAGTAACTAAGCAGGTGCAAGGAGAGAGACGTTGGAAATGAACCCAGGCTCAAAGGAAGGTTCTAGCTCAGTTCTCGGCCCACGCAAGAGCCCTTGGGTTGCCTGGGGATGGGCGGTCTGGACCCCAGTGCCAGAGTGGACCCTGGAGAGGTGGGAGGGCCTTTTCCGGTGGCCTGTAAAAGCCCTTGTCACAGACGCCAGGCGTCATTTCTTTTCTGAAATTTCACAACTCATTTAGGCAGCTCAAAAGACCAAATTACAAAATACAAATTTCCTAAACAAATTACAAAACCCAACTATCCTCACCAGAGTGTGGAGTCTTTCTGGGACCCCTGGGTACCTTCTCACTCTTAACCCTGGGTAAACACAGCCCCAGCAGGTCACAGGGTAAAGGCGAGACTCTGAGAATGAGACTCCCCCCTCCATGCTGGCCCCGATTCCTGGAAACAAAAGTGCCCAGGAAGCTTCTTGGGTGAAAATCACGCACACTCACACGTGCATGAGCCAAGAGGCAAGGACTGGCTGGGCAGTGTCCAGGGCCAGGAGCACTCAGGGCCGAGTCCCGCCTCAGAATGCCCCCAGATCTGTGGCCACAATGCAGGATGAAACACAAGTTCTTCTGGAACTCAGAAAGACAGCCCGGGCAGGGGAAGGAACATGCCTGCTCACCCGGGCACAGCCCTCTACAGTTTACAAAGCCCTTCCCAGGCACGATGGCATTGGATCCTCCCCGTGGGGTTCTGGACACGCATCTGTATAGGCAGCACCTGTGTGGGCAATGCTTTTATTCTCGTTCGACAGACGGCAAAATCCAGATGTTAGCAGACTGGCTGGTGGTCCTAAGAGCTACAGTGCCACCCTGTGCCAACTCTCAGTGCGTTATCTAATTTAATACTGACCATCGTCTGTGTGGTTGGTACTAGTGCCATCACCCTCGTTCTACAGATAAGGAAATCGAGGCACGGAAAGGTTAAGAATGCCTTTATTATCTATTTTTTTGGTGAGGAAGATTGGCCCTGAGCTAACATCTGTGCCCATCTTCCTCTATTTTATATGGGACGCCTGCCATAACATGGCTTGATAAGCGGTGTGCAGGTCCGAACCCGAGAACCCTGGCCTGCCGAAGCAGAGCACGTGAACTTAACAACTACGCCACCTGGCTGGCCCTAAGAACCCCTTCAGAGCAGTGCTCCTTATGACTGCTTCCATAGATGAGGGAGGGTAGCATTTAGAAACTTTCATAGCAATTTGACATTGCTATGACATCCAGGCAGAGTTGATAAGTTATCAGTCTGCGAGGATTAGAAATAATAACTAAGAAAAAAGGTTGAGAAGCACTGGTTTGGAGCCCAGACTGGAATCTGAAGGCCTGCATTCGAATCCCAGCTCTGCTACTTCCCAAGGCCGAGACTCTCCTCACTACTGCGGGGGCGGTACTGCGAGCACCTGCCTTACAGAGTTATATATGCAAAGTGCTAACAGCAGACCTGGCACTCGGCCTGCTTGCTACTATTATTAGCATTTGGTGACTTGCCTGGGGCCACAAAGCGAGTCACTGGAGGAACCTTTCTTCTCGATGCCAGCTCTGGAAGGAGGGATTGACCACCAGGTCCTCTGTCAACCTGATAACTGGGGCCTAGGAAACATGTCTGCCCCCAAAGCCTGTTCCCAAATGCAGACCCCCGTCCCCTGCCAGGAGCCGAGCTGCCTTCACAGGACAGGCCCCGCTCTCATCTCCAGGCCAGAGCTGGGTACCTTAATGGGGTGTGAGGAGATGTTCTTGCCCAAACTGGAAAAACCTGATGGGCAGCCAGGTCCGCCCTGGCAGGCTCTCTGGCAGGCTCCGTGTTTGCCAGCAGGTGTCCTGAGAAGCAGGGAGGGTCAGGGAGAGCCGTGGGGGCCTTCCCCGCCCAGCTTCCAGGGTCTAGTCTCGGATCTTGGATCTCCGGGATGTCCGCCCAGGGAGACTCTGCAGGGATGGTGCCTGCTCCCCAGGTACCATATCCGTCCCTTCCCTGAACGTCCCTATAGTCCCCAGATAACCACACTCCCTGCCTTTACCCACAGTCACCTTGTCTCAGTCACCAGACCCAGAGGGAGGACACAGCTTCTTCCCAGCCCTTTGGAACCCCAGGCCCTCCTCCTCTGAAGTGGTGTCATCCAGCAAACTTGCACACAGTAGGTGCTTGACACACGTCTCCCGAATTAACCACCCTTTAGGGTAGTTCAGATCCACCTCCCTGATATTCTTCCTCTACCTGGGCCCCACCTGTCCTGCTGTCTGATTGGTTACCGCCCCTTCCTGCTTGTGCCACCCTTCTTGCTTGGAGCTGACTCATCCCTCCACCTTCCTCCACGGACCCTGCCCCAATTTCCCTTGGGGAGGATATTGCCCCCTTCCCTTGATGCCCCTCCCTGCCTTTGTACGGGCCTTTCCAATTTACACAGCACTTGGCCGTGCTGTGCTATATCCATTCCACATCTGCTAAGGACAAACTCAATTCACACTTCAACAAACATTTATGAGGTGTCTCCCATGAGTCTGCTGTGCTGGGTGCGGCAGAGGAAGGAGACACAGAGCTTGCTCTTGGAGGCCTCACAGGCCCAGACCTCCAGGCCTGGCAGCTGGTGCTGGCACACCCCAGCCTGGAGCCCTCGCTCCACCTTGCCCTGGCCACTCACACCCGAAGGCTCCTTCCCAGAGATCCCTGTGTTTCCCCAAGTGTCCTGGCCCTTCCTGGGGTCCCTGGGCAATTCTGGGCTAGATTGAGGTCCCTATAGTCCTGGGGACCTAGAGCTGCAGACCTGGCCTTTTCTCCTATGCTCTGAGGAGGGGCGAAGGATCTTCCAGACTTGCAGCCTGAGGCCCTCCCTCTGCATGGAAGAAATGGGCCCCCAGATACGCCTCTCTCTACTCTAGGCCCGCCCCCCATCCCACTTCAGATGACCCTGTTCCACTCACACCCCTTCTCTCTCAGGCCTCAGGCTTGAGGCCTTCACTATGGGGGGGCCGCAGCTCCTGGCAATGCCAATTTCTCGCCTTCTCTCCACTCCCTGGAGAGGAGGTCAAGTCCTACGTCCTCCACCGCCTCCTTGACCCCTGCTCTCTGTCCCTCCACTGAAGCTAAACTGTCCTCTCAAAGGTCACAGGTGAGCCTTTGCCAAACAGAGGCTTTGGTTCAGGCCTGCTCCTGACCTAGCAGCAGCCCTGCTGTCCCCGGTTGGCTCCTACCCCTCACGGCTGCTCTCTCTTCCCACTCCTCTGCCTCTTTCATCCCAGTGGCCCCAGGCTCAGGCCTTGGCCTCTGCTTTCTCATCCCACGGGGGCTCCCTTGGAGAAACACTCTTCCCTTCCCACGGCTTCAACTCTCACCTCCGCGCTGATGTCACCAGACCTACCCCTCTACCCCCAGGCCCCCCAACATTTCCTAGATGTCAAACCTTCCATCATTCGCCACCTGTGTAAACGCCAAGGCTTGCTTGCCTCCTTGGAACCACCCAACACTCCCAGCTTCCTCCTTCCTGCTGTTCCAGCCTCCTCCCCAGAACTCCAGGTCCAGCCAGGGTGGGCCGCACCTGCCCCTGCAGCCGGGCGCACGCCAGACAACCGCGGTGCTGCATGTGAACTTGGCCTTCTTCCTCACGCTCAGTCCCTGCGCAAGTTCCCACGGCCTCCACTGGGCGCTACCTTTCTGGCAAAGCCAGGCTCCCACAGAGGAGGGAGGTTTGGGGGATCCACCTCTGATCCTCACCGTCACATCGAAGCCCACCCTGGGGCCAGGCAGAAAGGGAGACTGCCCCTAGGGCCATGTCTGAATCCCGCAGGCTGCAGCCCCAGGCCCTTAGCCAAGGGTCCCTGGTGACCGGTTCAGGATTTCCCAGCCAGAACTGCCTGACCTGTGAGGAGCAGCTCCCTCTTGTCTGGAAGTCCCTTTCCAAACACCGTGCTTCCCAAAGCAGGAACCGGCATCCTGCACAGTGACTTTACTTTATTTTTAAACATTTAGAGCAATGGAGAAAAATGAAAATATTCACATTCTCCCTTCCTCAAATAAACCGACTTCTCTACTCATCCTGTCCCTTGAAAACAGAAGCACTATTCAAAAAGAAAAAGCGAAGAAATTAAAAAAAAAAAGAGGCAAAAAGAAAAAAAAGGAACTGAATAGAAGAAGAAAAGAGGAAAAAAGAGAGCAAGAAGAGAGCGATCCCCGAGGGAGGTGGCGAGAGCTCAGAATGAAAGGCAGAAAAATGAAGGGAAGGCAGGCAGAGATACAAAGGGGAAGGGAAAGACAGAAGCTTTGAAAGAAAGAATGTTCCAGCGTGAATACGTGCGGGGGAGAAAGGAGCGCTTGAAAAGCAGCAGCCGATGCAGTGACCCCTCATTCACAGAAGGTGCCAATCACAGCGACAATGCAGATCCTTTCTTCTTTTCTCCTTCTCTCCTTTCTGGAGAGAGAGGGAGGGAGAGGCTGAAGTTAATTCCTAAATGTACAAAAAATAAATTCAGTTCCACTGGGGAAGCATCAAAGAGCTGCTTTAAAGATTTCCCCCAAAACTCAAGACACCAACCAGAGAAGTGCTCCCCCTCTGAGAGCGGGGGCGGGGCAAGGCTGGAGGCCATCAGCTTTATTTCAGGGGTGGCTGCCCCTGCTCTGGCCCTGGCCGCCAGGCTGTGGCCTCCTCCATTGGGTCCTGGGTGAGCCAAGATGGAGCGAGGCCTGGTCTCCACTGGCAGCCTGGCCCTCTGGGTTCTCCTGCTCTGGCTGAGAGCTGAGAGCCCAGGTAGCAGGGCAGAAGAGGAGGATCTGAGCGAGGCACGGTTCTGGCGGGAGGCCGACCTGGGCTGTGTCCACTCTGTTCTCCAGCTGCACGGCACACACAGGAGGTACTCGGGACAGGTGGAATGAATGACATTCTGAATCGGCCCTGGGACGGGACGGCCTCTCCAAGGACTGCTCCAAGGAAGCCCGGCTGCCTGCTTGGGCCAGGCCCTCGGTCCAGGTGTGAAAGAGGCTCGGATAGTCCTTTTCACTGGCTGCCAGCTATCGGATGGGTGTCCTTACAAGGGAGGGCCTCTGTGGATATTGAGGCTTGTTATCACATCACAGATCAGCACTTCCTTGAGTTAGCCAAGACCCAAAGACTGCAAGACATACAGGCGCCCCAGAGAACCCCAAGGCCCTCCTTCAGAACGGGCCTGGATTTGGACTGTGTCCTTGCCTCCTCCCTGCGTCAGACGTCAGTCATGACGGGGCATCTACCGGGGCTTGGCCTGGGGCTAGGCCTGGGGCTGGGCAGTGCACAGGATGGTCCCTGCCCGCACACACCCCTCAGCCTACTGACAGCCCTCAGCCTACTGACCGAAGGTCTCCCGAAATGTCCCTCTGGGCCCCCTTCCTTTGTCTTTCTCTTGCTCCTCCTGTCTTTCAATACTCAGCGAGTCATGACAAAACCTGAAATGGGGTCACCTTTATGCAGAGGTTTCTTTTTCCTTCTGATCATCCAAATGCTGGATAATGAGAAATGTCTGGGAACAGAGGCTGAGTGGAGGAAGACTGATTGGTT